ACTCGGCCAAACGAGCAGATCGGAATTTTTGATCGCGACATGGTATTCTCACGGAGTTTTTAACTGTATGTTTCCAAAATCACTACCAACAACACTTGTTTTAGTAACATAATGATAAAGCACTGTACTCTATACACCAGTTTATACGCTACAATGTTGACTACTATTGGGATCTAGAAGGCTCTATGCACACCTTTAAATAACACTGGCTAGTCTCCACGGGGTCACCTCCGAGGGTCCTTGGATGCTTGGAAATACCAGCCCCTACCCAAGGGTCCGTGTTTGTCGAGAGAAATTCAATCGTGAGCACTAGAGTACTTCCACAATCATTTGCGCAGCATTAAACGACTGATTGGCTCGTGTGCAGAAAATTCTTCTCGCGTCAATACGTCGATAGAGCAAATTTCATTCGCCAAAAAAAGATTGATCACAAACAAACGCAATCACAAATCTTTACTAGCCCACCAAAAGCGAAAGCAGCCCACCGAAATAATAGCTAGCACCATACTCCCGAACTGCCAACTTTCTCCACGCGGAATCAGTGGCAACGTATTTGCCCACGCACAATTATGTAGCCCATACTTCCTCATGGAATTCCATGAAAAATCGTGGCCCTTTACGATCATGACAGCTCATGAAAACTCCTGAGCGATTCGCGCAGTTACGCGACGAAATTACGAAGTTGTAGAAATCCACCTCGCTCAATTCGCATCAGCGTCGAATATGAATCGCGCACGTCCCGAAACACCTCGACGAAATTTCCACATCGGAGAATGAGGACAAACAGCTCGTGGGCCACAAAATCTCGCTGGCCCCACATGGCATCCTCGAAATCCAACATGGACCCATGCGCGCTTGGCATTTATACCACGCGCTACATCACTGCCACACTCGCGCGTGAGGCAGCAATTGAATTGCGGCCCTCAGGCCGAGCGTGTGCCTCGACTGGCACCCTTCGGCCCTTTTGGCGCTACTCCCATGATTGCGCAACAGAGGTCGGGCTCATGGCCTCGAGCCTTGACCAGCACGAAATGCCTAAGGGAAGAAAACACGCTTCCCTTTCATGAACACAAATGAAAACTCATGACAGAAAACATGAACAAACATGAACGGAACATAAACAGTCATGAACGAACATGAACACTCATGAACGCCCCGCGAATGACCATGAACACTCGAAACTTCACGCACAATCATGAAACAACACGAACAACATGAAAACCCGGAACTCCTCGCATGCACATACGAAACACACGAGAAAAATCATGAAAAACTCATGAATGCAACCGCACACTAAAATGCACATAACTCATGAACCGCTAAGGCGATTCACAAACCGTAAACGCCAAAATGAAAAGCACACAAATGCGCATTCCACACGATACAAATTACCTCAAAACAAAACACCCCACTTTCCTTCAACGTCGGCGAATAGGCGGTAGGTTGTCGTGCAAACAACGTATTGCACTCAACATACAAGTCCAACCGTCGGCAAAAAAACTTATTCAAGCACAATAGCAATCGGAATCTGGAAACGAGAAACACTTTAGGTACCACAAGGTGACATACATTTTGTCGGATTTTTTCGATCGCGACATAGTACTTTTACTAGTTTCGTAAAAGCAGCAAAGCCACTTTAAGATTGTTTTGTATAAACTCGAACATGGCCACAGCCCGTGTTGTGGAATCATGTTGAAAAAAAAGGTGTATTGATATTTTTTCTACAGCGCGCCAACTGTGGTCCACGTGGCCGAGCCACTCGCGTCTCTGCGGGAGGGGTGTGGCTCAGAGTTACGCAAGTGTGGAGGAGCCAATCGGGTGCTCTGACACAGTTGGGAAGAACACCGGATCTGGGGTGTGGCGACCAGATCTAGAGAAGTTGTGGCGGGAAGAGATGATGCAGTCAGAGATTGTGGTGCTCGTGCCCATGTGGCTGAGTCCCAAAATGCTTCAAAAGGACTATGTTGTATGCCATTTTCTTGATTGCTTCAACACATTTGTATTGAGTTCATCAGCCTTGCTTCCTTTCATACCTTCAACCCAAAATGGTGTGATACATGTGAATTAAGAAAAACAGGAATGAAAATGACTAAGTGAAAGTTGGGTACAAGAAGCAAACCCTAGAAAACTGTACCCCATATGTGCTACCCCACTCTAGCCTACAGTAGCTATGTCATATAAATCTGACACACCCCCATAGGCAAAGTGGGGGAGAACAAGGGGTCACAAGACCAGTCAAGCAAAGCAAAGCAAAAACAAGCTCAGGGTGGATCACAAAGTCACCACACATTCCGAGCACAAGTTCAAGGCCACAAGGCCAGTTCACAAGCAGGAGTACACATATATATAAAAAAAGGCTAGACAAACAAGAGCAGGTATATATATATATAACAGTACAAGCAAGGTCAAGAGGTGAGCAAGTGAGGCAAGGTAGGCACAAGGCCCAGCTGAGTACAGAAGCGCTGATGGTCACAAGGCGCAAGTGCCTTGGTGAAGATATCAGCAGTGTTGGCCTCAGAGGCCACGTACGCAAGACGCAGCTGACCACGCTGCTGCAGCTCACGAGCAAGAAAGTAGCGGAGAGCAATGTGCTTCGTTCTGTGCTCCAGTCGCTGCTCCCGACACAAGGCCAGCATGGCCTTGTTGTCTACGTAGAGCACTGGAGGAGAACGAGGCAACTCTCCGAGGTCAGTCAGCAGGTAGGTGAGCCAGCGAAGCTCCTGTGCAGCCATGGCTCCTGCGTAGATCTCAGCCTCACAACTGGAGCCGAGAACAGAAGACGAGCGAGTAGCCCGCCACGAAACAGAGCCGGAACCAAGGCTGAAGGTGTAACCCTGTGACGACCGCTGCGTAGCCTGGTCGTCAGCCCAAGAAGCGTCTGCGTGCCCAGTAAGGACCACTGGACTCTGCCCTCCAAGCACAAGCCCCATGCCCGACGTACTGCACAAGTAGCGCAACACCCTCTTCGCTGCAGCCATGTGCTCCGGTCTGTGTCTCCCAGGAGCAACATAGCGTGCAAGAATGCTAAGAGGGTATGCAAGGTCAGGTCGTGTGCAGGTCATCAGGTACATGAGGCAGCCAACAAGCTCTGGGTACGGGCCACTCGACTCTACGGACTCATCCGAAGGCAGAGCTGAGAGCGAGTGGCGAGTAGGCAGAGGAGTGGCCTGAGGCGAGGAGTACGTGAAGCCGAAGCGCTGAAGGACCTGCTGCACCATGTGTGACTGAGTCAGGGTAATGGTGCGGCGTGCTCTGTCCCGGGTGATCTGCAAGCCAAGGTAGCTGCGCAGTTCACCCAGGTCAGTGCACGTGTGTCTCTTCTGCAGCTCGGACTTCACGTGGGCTAGTCCAGCAGTGTCAGCTGTGGCAAAGACCAAGTCGTCGACGTACACGAGGATGTAGAACGGCGGCAAAGAAGTGTCGGTGCGCAGAAACAACGACGGGTCGGCAGTAGAGGGAGCAAACCCAAGAGCCGCAAGTGTAGTCCTCAGTGTGTCGTGCCACTCACGCGGTGCCTGGCGGAGACCGTAGACTGGCCGCCGTAGGCTCCACTGGGTGCCAGGAGGAAAAGACCCAGTGAAGCCAGGTGGGCGACGCAGCCAGATCTCCTCGTGCAGGCTGCCCTGCAAGAAAGCAGTGCTGAAGTCAAGAGAGTGTAGCTCGTAGTCACGGTGAGCAGCTACGTGCAGTAGTACCCGAAGAGTGGTCATCTTCGGGGTGGGAGAGAAGGTCTGAAAGTAGTCAACTCCCTGCCGCTGACTGAAGCCACGAGCCACGTAACGCGCCTTGAAGACAGGCGGAGAACCCGGCGGTCGCTTCACCCTGAAAATCCACATGCCACTGACGATGTTCGCCCCAGGAGGGGGAACAGCGTCAACGTAGGTGCCTGTGGACTTCCAGGAAGCCATCTCTGCGTCCATAGCTGCCTGCCACTGAGAGGAGTAGGGACCCTCTATCGCCTCCGCGTAAGAGCGCGGAGTCGGGATGTCAAGTGCATCCGGGTCTCCCTCAGGGGTAAGCAGTACGGACACGAGATGAGGTGAAGCAGCGGCCAAGCACTGGAACTCCTCCTGCCTGTCCTCAAGGACGTCCGTGCCAAGGGCACACTCACCCCCGACGGACGGAGGACAGACAGACTCAGACTCAGCAACAAGACTGGCGACGTAGTCTAGGCGACAGCGAGCAGCAAAGTCGACGAGCTCAGCAACTAGAGCAGACGCAGCAGTGGACTCAAAGGAAGGGTCAGTGACAACCGTAGCAAGGAGACGCGTGACAGTAGGACTGGCAGCGCGAAGAGAGTCCGACTCCGGGTCGGCAAGAGTAGGAAGAGAAGACTCAGGAGGAGAAGGCAAAGGGGCACGCAGAGGAGCAGTGGACGGACGCAGAGACATCTGGTGCGTGCCAGGGACAGGAGGAGGACGCTGACGCGAACCGCGACCACTAGTGCGAGCAGCACGGACAGGCGACGCAGGGCGAGACGCAGGCTCACGACGCTCAGCAAGACCTCCAGTAGGACCAGTGTAGGGAGACGGAGCAGGCAGTGGGGAGGCCGGCTGTAACTGTAACTGCGACGGGACAGGCTGTGGACACTCTAAGGGAGGAGGAGGACCAGTAGAAGGCGGGAGACCAAGAACCTGCTGAAGGAGCGGACGAAGTACGGCCGAGGCCGCGCGGCGACTCCAGACACAGGAGGGACAGCACCAGCACCCGCAGGGGCAGCACCAGCACCAGTAGCAGCTCCAGCTCCAGAACCCCCAGCAGCACCAGTAGTACCCCCAGCAGGACTGCCTCCAGGACCGACAGCAGTAGCCTCCGCGCCAACACCCGCAGCAACTCCAGCTCCAGAAGTACCCGCAGGTCCAGCAGCTCCAGAACTCCCAGTACGAGCACCTCCGGGACCCGTGGCACCAGCTCCCTCAGAAGCAACAGAACCTCCAGTACCCGCAGCACCTCCAGCTCCAGCAGCTCCAGCAGCTCGCCTCCAGCGCCGGGCAAACCACTCACGCAGCTCCTGGGGAGAGAGTGGCTCTCGGCGAGAGGGAGCACCCGGTGAACCGCCAGGCACAGCACCACCAGGCGTAGCACCCCCAGGCTCAGCACCTCCAGGCGTAGTACCCCCAGGCTCAGCACCCCCAGACGCAGCACCCCCAGGCTCAGCACCTCCAGGCGTAGTACCCCCAGGCTCAGCACCCCCAGTCGTAGTACCCCAGACTCAGCACCCCCAGGCTCAGCACCCCCAGGCTCAGCACCCCCAGGCGTAGCACCCACACGCTCAGCACCCCTAGAGTCAGCACCCCCAGGCTCAGCACCCTCAGCAGCACCAGAGTCACCAGCGACCTCGACAGGCTCAACAGCGTCCACCTGGGACACACCTGAAGGGGCAGGACCCTGAGGGGGGAGGGGGTCTACCGGGGGGGGACCTGGTACAAGGAAGAGCGGTGGCGGGGGGAGGGACGGAGTGCGGTAGGGGAAGAGGCGGTAGTAGGGGACCGACTCGTCGAACGTGACGTCCTGGGAGGACAGAACACGGCGAGAGGTGGGGTGGTAGAACTGCCACCCTGGGGCGTCAGGGGGGGAAACCCAGGGAAGACGCAAGGAGCAGCACGAGGGGACAGCTTGTCCGCAGACAAGTCGCGGACAAACGCCCGAGATCCCCAGACACGGAACGCAGACGCATCGCCAACCTTCCCCGTCCACAGCAAAGCTGGGAGGTCTCCGGCATGGAGACCCTGGGCTGAAGGTTGATCTGATGCGCCGCGTACCGAACCGCAAACGGCCACAGAAAATGGGGGGCAGCCGCATGCATCATGGACGTACGGGCGACGTCCATGACCATGCCAATGCGGCGCTCAGCAATCCCATTTTGCTGTGGAGAGTCCGGAAGCCGTGAAGGTCTGGCGGATGCCTCGTGCACGACAGTAGGCTCGCAGAAGGCCAGAGGAGAACTCTCCGCCTCTGTCAGAGTGCAGACGCAGAACAGGAAAGTCCGAGCCAAAGCTCCGCCTGAGCTGGAGACGAGCTGCGCGGATCCAGTCGATCAACACCTCAGTGACATCACCCTTGCTGCGCAAGGGGAAGACTGTAGTGTAACGCGAGTAGTCGTCAACCACCAGCAGGAAGTAGCGCTCGTGACCCTGTCCACGGACGCGGGCCGGGCCCCACACGTCCATGTGAAGCGTCTGCAGCGGGGCCTCTGTCGGAGGAAACTGGGAGGAGTGAGGGGTAGCCCGCTGCCGTCCCTCGACACAGGGGACGCAGGTAGGGCCTGGCCCCGGAGGAAGGGGAGGGAGGGACCGGGGAAGACCAGAGACAAGGACACAGGAGGCCATGCTCCGGAGACGAAGCAGGGAGGGGTGGCCAAGGCGGTGGTGCCAGAGGAGAGTCTCGTGAGACAGGAGGCGACACGAGCAGGGGGCAGACTCAGGACCAGACCTGGACGCTGCAGCAAACACCTGACCCGACGCAGCTACCTGACCAGACGCAGGGACTGGAGGAGACGCAGTGGTCAGTGTGTACAGGCTCGACCCTGGCCGACGTGTAAACGTGGCCAGGTGGCGGCCTGTCCGAGCGTCCGTGCAGTGGGTCACCCGCTGACTCGCAGGAGTGAACTGGTGAACCCCCGCATCCTGTAGGTCAGCACCACTCACCAAGTTCGTAGAGAACGAGGGGAGGTAGAGACCAGACAGGGTGCCAGAGGGGGCCGCCGGACACGGGAGGACAGTGGAGAAGTGAGCAAGGACAGGACCCCCAGAGGGGTCTGCCAGGGAGACCGCAACTGGCCGGCCAAGCGGCGTGAGTGTGGTGCGGTCTCGAAAGAAGGAGCGAGAAGCCCCCGAGTCAAGTGTGAAGGTGTGGGAGGCCGAAGCCGACGCAGAACCTGAGAGAGCAGACTCACCAGCACCTGAGGGAGTAGACGCACCTAGAGCAGCAGCCTCGCTAGCACCTAGAGCAGCAGCCTCACCAGTACCTAGAGCAGCAGTCTCAATGCCCGGGTCGGGCGGAAAACACCGGTAACAGTCACCCTCATCACTAATAGTCACAGTATACATGGCAGCAAGAATAGCATCAAAGTCAAGGTCAAAGACAGCTACACCCGCCCTAGACAGCTCACCCCAGCGGGGGATCTCAGTGGCCTCAGGGAACTGGTGACGCCAAGCGTCCGTGAGGCGGCCAAAGCAGCGCTGGGTGGAGTGCGCACCCCCGCACTGCTCACCCGCGCGGTCGCCGGTGCGCAGGACGTAGGTGCACGGACCAGCACCCCCACCCCTCTGGCGTGCAGTGTACCACTCACGGAGCTGCTGAGGGGAGGGGACGTCACGAGTGCGCTGCTGCTGCTGCTGCTGCTGTTGGCGCTGACCACCACCGGAGCTGACCCTCTGCGCAACGCCACCCCGACCAGCTCCACCTCCTCCGCCGCCTCCTCCTCCACCGCCGCCACCTCCGCTCCCTCCGCCACCGCCGCTGCCTCCTGCGCCTCCACTGCCGCCACCTACACCTCCACCCCCGCCACCACTCCCGCCGCCACCACCACCTCCTCCACCACCTCCACCGCCGCCTCCACCGCCCCCGCTAGCTCCTCCAGCGCCCCTGCCCCCCTTGCCCCTGCCAGGGCGGCGTCTCCCGCTAGTGGTAGACGCTGCCCCAACCGACTCCAAACCAGCGAGGTCGGCCGCAGCAGCAGAGGCAACAGAGGGCAAAAGAGGGGAGGGGGAACACCCCTCAAAGATGGGGGTGCGAGGGTCACCACGAGAGGCTCCTACAGCGACTATGCTCTTTTCTGCTGCTAGGAGGGCCTTCTCAAGGAGGTCAACGGTGAGAGTGGTGGGACAAACCGAGAGGAAGTGGTCCCTGACTACGCGAAGGGAGTCAGGGAGACGGGTGACGATGTAGTAGAGGGTGATGTACATGGGGGGGGGGTTCTTGGCGCAGAACTCAGCAGGAAGCGCAGCGCGGTAGCGAGTGTCACTAGTGCGGAGGTGCGTGATGAGGTCAGCGACTGTGGGAAAGGCAGCAAGGTCAGGGAAGAGGTACGGTAGCATGAGGCGGCTCAGTGCAGCAGTGGCAGGGGAGGAGTAGCGTGCAACTACAGCGTCGTACAAGGTCTGAGCACTCTTGTACTGGCTAAAGTGCGCACGCTCAGAGGTAGGCAGGTGGCGACGCACAGCAAGACGTGCAGCAGCATCGCGCGTGGCCCACTGGGAGCGAACAGTTGCGTCAGCATCAGTGGCGGGAGCAGGAGAGGCACCAGAAGTGAGGTCAAAGAGGGAGAGGCCGTCTGCCCTATCGCACTGTAAGAAAAGCTGCAGGTCATCTATCCAGACGTCAAAGTCAATGGCCCGACCCTCAGCGTCAAAAGCGAGGACACTAGGGGTAGCCATGACAGTAGTAGACTAGCAGCGCAAACAGTGGGGTGAGGGCAGTGCTGTGAGAGAGGCGCTGCTCTTACCGGACAGGGCGGCTCGGGCGGCTCGGCTGCAGGGCGGCTCGGCGACTCGGCTGCTGGGCGGCTCGGCTGCTGGGCGGCTCGGCGGCTCGGCTGCTGGCGGCTCAGCGACTCGGCTGCTGGGCGGCTCGGTGGCTCTGCTGCTGGGCGGCTCGGCTGCTGGGCGGCTCGGCGGCTCGGCTGCTGGGCGGCTCGGTGGCTCAGCTGCTGGGCGGCTAGGCTGCTGGGCGGCTCGGCGGGGCCGCTGAGAGGGCGGCGTCCGGGCCCGCTGGGAGGAGGCGGCGGGGCCGCTGAGAGGAGGCGGCGGGGCCGCTGAGAGGAGGCGGCGGGGCCGCGTCAGGGGCCCGCGCGGCAGGGGCCGCGTCAGGGGCCGCGTCAGGGGCCGCGGCAGGGGCCGCGTCAGGGGCCGCGGCAGGGCCGCGTCAGGGCGCCGCGTCAGGGGCCGCGTCAGGGCGCCGCCAGGGGCCAGCGGCAGGACCGCGTCAGGGCCGCGTAGGGGCCGCGGCAGGGGGCCGCGTCAGGGCCGCGTCAGGGCCGCGTCAGGGCCGCGGCAGGGCCGCTTCAGGGCCGCGTCAGGGGCCGCTTCAGGGCCCGCGGCAGGGCCGCAGCAGGCCCGCGGTCAGGGCCGCGTCAGGGGCCGCAGCGCGGGCCGCGTCAGGGCCGCGGCAGGGGCCGCAGGCGTCAAGGGCGCGCCGCGTCAGGGGGCCGCGTCAGGGCGCCGCCAGGGGCCGCGTCAGGCCAGGGCCGCGTCAGGGCCCCGTCAGGGCCGCGTCAGGGGCCGCTTCAGGGCCGCGGCAGGGGCCGCGGCAGGCCGCGTCAGGGCCCG